AAGGACTCCGCACCACTTCCAACCCTTGACAGGCAGTTGTCTGTCAGGTGTAAGAGGGGTAGCGTGTCTGAAGGCATCAGGGAGGCTGGGCCAGCAGGATTGCTAAGGAGATGCTGCTTGGGCAGCCTCCCCGATGGCTTTCAATGCTCTGCCCCTGCTCCTGCACTTGACAGACAACCACCTGTCAGGTGGAGGAGGGGTGGGTGGAAGTGTGTCTAAAGCCACTGGGGAGGCTGGCTCAGCAGCATTGCTAAATGTGTTTCTGCTTGGGCGACCTCTCTGATGGATTAAAGTACCCTGGCCCTGCTCCTACACCTGACAAACACCCAACTGTCTGGTGTAAGGGGGGGAGGAGTGTGTTTAAAGTCATTGGTGAGGCTGGGCCAGCAGCAGTGCTAGGGCAATCCTGCTGAGCAAGCCTCCCTGACAGCTGTAAGTATCCCACCCCCTCTTCTACACCTGACAGGCAGCTACCTGTCCAGTGTACAAGGGGAGGGGAGGGGGTATTGCAGTCTCCTGTAACTTTTTTTTTAACCTCAGAACACTGAGCTCTGCAGCTGACCAATCATAGATTAAGGGGGGTGCAAGGAGGCAGCAGCCTGGCAGCCACGTAGGAATCAATGGGGGAGTGTATTTTACTCCTTTTGACCCCCTTAGGGGTCAAATTTCTAAAAATCCCTTCTTAGTGAGCATCTACATCATGGTAGGAGTGCTCTCCCCAAATTTCATGTTTCTAGGTCCAGGGGTTTGGCCTGGATGTTGATTTTACGGTGAGGAGACTTAGAGCGGCTTACAAACTCCTTTCCCTTCCCCTCCCCACAACAGACACCCTGTGAGGTGGGTGGGGCTGAGAGAGCTCTTGACAGAAACGGCTCTTTTTCAAGGACAGCTCTATCAGAACTACGGCTTGCCCAAGGTCATCCAGCCAGGTGCAAGTGGAGGAGTGGGGAATCAAACCTGGTTCTCCCAGATTAGAGTCCGCGCACTTAACCACTACACCAAACTGGTTCTATTGTATACATTTATTTTTGCCATCAAGTCTCATCTGCCATGGTGACCTCATGGGGTTCTTAATGCAAGAGACGCTGAGAGGTGGTTTGCCACTGCCTGCCTCTGCATCACAACCCTGGATTTCCTTGGTGGTCTCCCATTCAAATACTAACCAGGGCTGACCCTGCTTAGCTTCCAGGATCTCACAAGATCCGCTTAGTCAAGCCAGGTCTTTATAATTAGACATCAATTTTAAAAAGAAAAAAGAAAAAAAGCATGCAAGCTTAGCTTTTCAAATTCTGGCATGCTCATTTAAAGAAAGTTGATTCCTAATCCCATTCTGAAGCACGGAACTTTAGATCCTAGGAATGCTTGAAAAGGACACCAGATTAGGCATTGCTCAGCCCGCACAGTCCTCCTCCACGTGGTCAACTTGACAGCCGTGCTGCGAGGCTCTAATCTCCCCCCTGCCCCCGTACAGGTGAGAGAAGTTCAAACTTGGCCTCTGGGGTCCACCTCCTCTTGAACCTGTTCATAAATCAAGGTGAAGCTGTGGCTGGTTGAATTAAGCAGACAGAGAGATTATCTTCCTGTCAGAAAATCTACATCCCTGTGTCTTCATCCCAAGTCCCACAGTGTATATTCTTCCTACATCACGGCTGTCAACGTTATCCCACCAATAAATTAGAAAAGGAGCTCCAGCTGATGGATAGGCCTGGGTAGAAAAGTAATAACTATTGAGGAAAAGCCAGCACCGGCTGCCACTCACAGCAAAAAGCCCTGAATTTACTGACTTCTGCAAGGCCTTCGCAGAATAAATGGAGAAATCAATTGCAGATTACAGAAATACACATTTTTAATTATTAAAGAGCTCAGGTATCGATCTGATTTCTTTCGAGAAGTAAATACCATTACTAAGATTTATAAATGCCCAGGTATTTGCCTTGTTTGAAGCCTGCCAGGAATGTTGATGAAGGGATTCCAGCTCGCCCTTTTCAAAGGAAGAGACAGGAGAGGCATTTGACTCTCTCAGCATCATTCTAGGCCACCTCGGGGAAACCGGACTTGCTCACTGCTGGCTTCCTTATCCCGAGATAGTAGTCCCCTTAACTCATCCCACTGTTGAGGTCAAGAGCCACACAAGCAGAGGGCAGGAGATGGCAAGAGAACAGCATCGTTTCCTGCATTTCACCCAAGAAACCCACAGAATGTTAGGACCCACCTTCCCTTGCCTTCACCAGGATAGGGCTTGGGTAGGTGGGGAGACAAGGAGAGGTCAGGAACGCCTGTATCACTTACCCACACACTGAAACCAGAAATGGCCCCTTTCCTCCCATCCCAAAGACATACCCTGATCAGAAGCAGCCATGACTTGGCTCAGACCTGCCCACCGACATTCTCACAATTGTAAACCATGTGAAATGAAAAGGTGTCAACTGCAAAAGTGCTCTGTGAAAAGAGCTCTCTTCATCCCCTCCCTTGGGAGAAGCCAGGAGAGACAGAATGGAAGCAAAGAGAAGGCCCCCTTCCACATCTTGCACTGCCCCCCTTCAATTTTATCTCAACCTCCTTTCAAGGAGCTCAGAGCAGGGGCTGCGCATTTTACCAACACAGGTACCCTATGAAGCAGGTGAGGGTAAGTGATCTGCCCACAGCTGCCCAGTGAGCTTTGTGGCTGAATGAGGAACTGAACCTAGGTCACTTGCGTCCCAATCCAATGCACTACATGACACTAGGTTGTTACATGTGAAAGCCAGGGGACAGATGTGGGAAGAAACAATAGAGGGAAGCACCAATAACCAAGAAAATGGTGCAAGAAAAGGAAATATTTATTTCTTTTAAGAGAGAAGGGGGGATAGGATGATAGAAGATAGACAAAAGACAGATGATAGACAGATGAACAGTGAACAGATTTCATAAAACCCCCCCCCCCCCGATGCCTGGATGAAGCTAATGCCAAACACGTTAGGCATTAGCTTCATCAGGGCATCCGAACGACATCATTTGTCACCAGCACCTTGCTCGTCAAACTGGAAGTTTCGTTAACTGGAGGTGCTGAGGCGAATGGGCTAGGCTAGGTTAACTGCAGGAAGTGGAACTTGGGTTTTTAAAGGACTGTCCAACTGGGCCATGAGGAAGGAGGCAAGTTATAACAAGTTATGCACGCGCGCATCATCTGTATATGAAAATTCCAGCCAGGCCCGGGCACAACTTTGATGTATGAGAGCAGCAAGCTCCTCTTCACACACACACCTAGATGGAGCCAATGATCTCGCTTTGAGTTTCATTCATCACAGCCTTTCGAGAGGAAAAATGAAGCAGCCTCTGGAGCAGCAAATTGAATGAATCCACAGCCCTGACATGGCGCAGGAGCCAGGATGCTTTATTTCTAAGCAGACAGGCGTTCTCTCCCAGAGGAGCATGGCTTCCTTGCCTGCTTCCCCGGAGCAGCTGACTCTCCTGCTCTCCGCGCACCCAAAAAAGCCTCTGGTTGTTGCCAGTGAACAGGACTTAATCTAAGCTGAGAAAACATGAGCAGTGGGTGTCTAGACTGCTTGGGCCCATCACACTGACCCATCACACAAGGAACCTCATGTGATTTGCCTTCGTGCTCAAACACTAAGGCGAGGTGTGCCACAAAGCAAGGGCTGAGGCTCCTGCACTGCTGACCAGCCCTTGCCCAGGTTCCTGGGATCTCACTGTTCTCCCACCCATCTTGTATTCATTTCTGTCATGACCCCCACTGAGCTGGCTCCAGACTTCGACTCGGAAGCCTCCGAGGAGGGGCCTGGGGAGCCAGATTGATGGCCTGGGGGAGAGCAGGGAACTCCGGGAGACCTCTGCAGGGTAGATGTCCCGGCCCAACCGCCCCAGAACTTGCTCCCGAAGAACCTGCAGCTGGAGCTCCTCCAGAACGTGCTGCTGTGGTGCCTGCAGTCAGAGCTCCTCCACCAGAATTTCCCTCTGTCCCCTGCCCCTGGCCCTAGAGCAACTAAGCACCTGCCCAAGACCCAGTCCACCACGCATAAGTCGAGTGGCTCCGGCTCCAGCTTCCCAGGTGCTATGGATCTGGTACCACTTGAGAAGACCTGACCAGTCCTGCCTGCTCAGTACAGGATGATTTCCTTACAGCATAGCTCTGCAGGGGTGGAGCAGGACTCCCATAATTTGACACCCCTTTTCTACAGAGAACATCAAGCCTCCCCCCTGACACAATTCTTGCTCTCTGTGCAGCAGAGTTCTTGCACATTAACCCCTCACCCACAGTCTGCAATGGTACAGTCCAACCCATTTCACTGTTCCCGTGGGAGCTCTGGATAGGCTCAGGCAGTTGCCTTCTTACCCAGCTGCCTGAGCCTATGCAGAGCTCCCCAGCCTCCCTGCTCTTCCATCTGCTCACCCGCCAAGGGGCTGTACTCTGGACAACCTACAGCTTCTGTGTGTGTGTGTGTGGACATGTGTGTTTACGGAGGCAACATGCCTGCATCACGGGTCGGCATGGTTGAGCATCTACCCTGCTGACCAGAGACACTTGGGTCTGCCCACATCCATGCAGGAATCAGAGATTGTTCCAGCGGACCCGGCAACATCATAGGGGCCGCTGGAATAACTTCCCGCATTGAGCTCGGAGAACACTACACATGCATTCAACCTTGCCAGTCCCAGAAAAGCATGAAAGTCACACCAAAACCACACGACTCCTACCTCTAATAGGACAGGTACCTGAGTGGCCAGCACATTTAGTGGCGGGAAGCAGTGAATGGCATTATGCACTTGGCCCCCAAACACCAGAGCCAACACAACGGAGTGGTATCCAGATGTACAACTGCTTCTTCATCAAAACAGTTTAACTGTAGCTCCAAACTTATTTTGGGGGAAGATACATGGGTTGAGCAGACAGAAAGAGTCTGACATATGAAAGGGCTGAAGGATTAAGCATGAGCTGCCTGCCCATTTGTTTCCATGGGCCCAACCTTCTCCAGAAACTGGAGACACCCTCTTGTACTTACCCGGTCAAAGGGGATGCCATACTTCTTCAAGATTGAAGGTGAAATGAGGGTCATCTTATGACGGAGGAAGGCGTCACAGCCTTGGGAGCTCCCGGGGAAAAACCCTGCAGGAGGAATTCAGGAGAGACAAATTGTTACCCCAAAATCTCTCTTAAGAGATACAGCCGCACAACTCTGGGACTGAAGCAGAGGAGGTGGTAAACAATGGTGTGCTTGTCATTTATCCAAAAGTCTCATTTTCTGTGTACACAAGCTGTGAAAAGGACCGAACGATGAATACAAAGACTCTCAAGGCTCACACCAGATGACACTGCACCAAGTCCAGGCTAACCAGCTAAAAATACTGAGTGAAACATACCTGCACAAATGCTCAACGTAAGTATTTTTTCCCAATTCACAAAACTAGACAAAGAACACTTACAGGGAAGAGCTTACACTGATGAAACCAGGACTGTGGGAACAGTAGGGAACATGGAACACGGCATGTGTTAAAAGCTTTCCAGGATCAAGCATAGAGCAGAAACACCTTGGGTCTTAATTCACACACACAATAATATTGTAAAATTGTTCCTGGATTGTTATCGATTCACACTACAAGGGAGGGGGTTGAATACTTCAATGTTACCCCAGATAGAAGATTTTCAGCACATTGTGTTAAGGATGTCTCTTGTGAGGTTTCATCAAGTTGGAGGTGTTCCCAAAAGTAATCATGGGCTTCTAGTTAGCTTTCCACCATCAAGACCATTAACCTCCTGGCAAAAGGTACACTCAAAAATATATCTAGTTGTGGTTAAAGCACACAAGTATGTACTATTACAGAATCTTTGTTTTCCTTTTGATCCATTATTAATGCATATCTAGTACAACTTAAATGCTATCTACCTTAAAAGGATATAAAATATTCTGTTAATTCTATATAGACAAAAATAAATAGCTCCTACATGAGTCCAATATATGGCTCACCAGGAACTGTATACACGATAAGCAATTTCATTAATGAAGAAGCTGATTTTTAGCCTTGGCCTCTCATATTTTGATGCGTTCAGTCATCTCTTAATAATACCTCACTATTCCCATTAATCAGGTTCATGTTCTTGGCTAATTACCTGACAGACTCCAAACACCTTCAAAATTATCTCTACTCATATATCCGTGAAAGCTTTGTGCATGCTTTAACAGCGTATTTCTTGCTACTTTTAGGATTAACAACGAATATCAAAGTGGTGAGGACTGATTCCACATCCATATGGCCACTAACCAACATGTCTCTCTGTCCTTGACTGGACCACTCTGTTTTTCAGACATTGCCTACACTTGGGCCCAATGTGCAGGAACACAGTTCTTTTATCTTTTAGACAGGACTATCTCAATGCTACCCACAGGCTATTCTAATCTGAGGCCCCACTACTCTTTGTTCTGCCCGCATAAGTATGAAACCTAGTTAAATTCTATTCATTCAAAAGCAGGTCCTATTTAGTAACTATCCCCCTTTGCATTTGGTCCAGTAAACACCGTTATTTCTGGTTAACATCTGAACGGAACAGAGTTGCTGTCAGTTCTAGCCCACGCTACCAGCCTTGTCCCCAGCTCGCCGTCCACCCAGCGGTTTGAAAGCTTCAGCGAGTAGATAAAATGGGTACCACTCCTTACAGAGGGTGGGCACACTAAAACCCCGTAGGGGAGGTGTTAGCCGGCGAATGGAATGTCCAGCTCAGAAGCTCGGAAGCCTGATAAAAAGACTTCTTCGGCATTAAGAAGCCTGTAGTGGGCCAATCCGGCCAGGCGGTGGCAGTGCGGTGCTACTATTCAAAGCAGCCCAGGAAGAACCAACATCATCAAGCCAAGCCAAAAAGTGAATGCCTCCGGAACACGTCTGAAGCCTACAGCTGAACAAAAAACCCCGTCGGCTGCAAAAAAATGTGTGCGATTTAAAGAATTATATGTTGTCACCCCTATGAAATTGTTAGTCCCTTGTGTGAAACCATGTAACTGTAAATCGCTCAGAGCCAGCAGCTCTGCCGGATTGAGCGATCAATAAATCGAAAGTTGTTGTTGTTGTTGTTGTTGTTATTATTATTATTATTATTATTTCATGTGTTTGCATGTTTCAATTGCAATAAACCAAGAAAGCGCAGCGAAGAAACTTATCCGTGATATATTATCCCACGCAGCACGTAACTAAATTCTTCTGATCGTGTCACATCCTTCCTATTGTCACCATGCCTGAGGTGACCCTTCTCTGGATTAGTATCCTCACACTGCTTCCTTAGCAAAGGCCTAAGAAGAATGTTCTCAGACAACTTGGGGGGGGGGGCTTCTCCCACAGACCAGCCAGGAATAAATACCCTTTGCAGAGCTCCTCACATGCCACAAATCCAGTGTAGTTCATTCCCTCAGTTCAGTGATGCATCAAAGAGAAGCCATTAGCTCTCTGAAAGACCGCATCAGGTCTACCTTCTCAAGTCCTCTTCAAACACCACTCGATTCCTAGGATAAATGGCAAGGTTTGGCACAGAGGCTCAGAATCTACCACTGAAACCCTTGGGGATGATCCTGCAGAATTGTGTCGGCAAATGGGGCCTTTCAGATTCATAAACCAAACCTTTCAAAAGGCCACTGTGATATGAAAACCTCCATAGTGGAGGAAGGGATAAAACTGTGGGGCTTTTTTGGCACACAGTGTCAGAGGCAGTTTTATAATCACAAAGATATGGGGTGGGTGGGGTTTTTTTTACCACTATGTAGGACTGACTACCTTTTGCTGCAGGGAAATGCACAGTTCCCACATCTGAAGTAGGCATAGTATTTTCTGCTAGGGCAGATGATGAGTGCACATTTCTCTACCCACACTGGCACTTCTTTAAGCTGAAGTGCCAGTGACATCATCCAAAGCATACTGCACATCTCAACATTTCCATAACGCACAGGAACTGGACCCTTCTTGGATGAGAGGAATGGTCGACATCCTTTCATACTGCTCTACGAGCAGAGTGGAAAGCATCTCTTCTCCTTTTGTGCGGAAACAAGGTAGACTGCCAACTCCAACTTTAGCATCTTGCAATGAGTACAATGCCTATATTACCCACACAGTGCATCCCCCCCCCCCCCATTCAGAGTTCATAGCTGTCAAAAGCAACACTACAGCTAAATGTGGCAATAATTATATCCCTTTAGGAGCTGCGCACAGCACACCTGCCGATAAAGACGTTGATTCTGCCTTGGCTTCTTCAACGTCAGACGCAATCAATGGCAGCCCATCATAATATTTATGGCCATCCCAATCAGAAGATCCTTTCTAGCTCCATTCTCCCATTTGTAACTCTTCATATAACACAAAATAAGAGGAGGGGAGCTAAGCAGTGCAGACCTGTTGGCTTTACTAACCCTCTTCTCTCCTCCTTCTTCCCTGATGATGAGTTAAGGGGAATCACCAAGGCTTGTTGTGCTTACTGCAGTATTTTGGTTGGTCTAAATATAAAGGTATTACCCTACTGTTGTCGTGAGACAACGATTTGCTCTCAGTAAACCAGGACATCTGGAGTGCCATCAGGAAAGAAGCAGAGAGGGCAGGACAAGTCCCTTGGGCTCATGACCTCCTCTTCAGTGAATGCTTCTCTCCCAGCCACGTCTACCTGTTGAGATGCTTGAGACCTCACATGCCTCTGCTGAAGACATTCACAGTGAGCAGAGAGCTCAGTCTTTTAACGGTGGCTTGCAATGATTGATGTTTAACAAGGGCTTTTTTATTGCACAACCTGAAGATTTTACATTGGTTGGCTTTTATGATTTTTATATGAGATCGTGCTGTCCTTGCAACTGGTTTATTCCAATGATTTTAATGCCATTTTTATACTGTTCTATAAACGTGTTTTTAAACATAAAGCTATCCTTGAAACTTCCTAAGTAAATAAACCCCTCCAATTTCTGGCATCCCCAATCTGGATGGCCCCGGCTTGTTCAATCTCATCAGATCTCTGAAGCTAAGCAAGGTCCTGGCCCCAGTTAATACTTGGCTTGGAGAACACCACGGAAGCCCAAGATTGCTATGAAGAGGCAGGCAATGGCAAACCACCTGTGAACATCTTGCCTCGAAATACCCAAAAGGGGTTGCCATAAGCAGGTTGTGAAATGATGGCAAAAAAAAACCCCTATCATCAACATGTTCCTGTTATAGAAAACAGCAAGAGTCCAGGAGCACCTTAAAGACTAATAAAATCTGTGGCAGGGGAGGAGCATTCGTGAGTCACTGCTCACTACTTCACATGTTCTTGTTATGGCCTTCCTTCAGTAGAGCATTCCCACTACTGAAAGGACTTCCTTTCCTATAAAAACACGCCACTTCAAATGCAAAGGAATACACTGCCCCAGCCAGGCTGCTTTCTCAGCTCACTTCTGGTAATCCAGTCAATGGAGTCTCTGATGTGAACCTCCTTGGACTTTTTTGCCAGGTCATGGATTCCGGTGCCCATCTCTCCATCCTTAGGAAGTGTCCATAGTAATTTTATTCCATGCCTCCATGTTCTTGACATATTTCCTTTCTCATGCAATTAGTTACTGTTCTTGTACACATGCTTTTTGCGGCCTAAGAGCATACACAGCCCCATTTTAAAACTCTGGGGCTTGGTGATGAGAAACTTTACAGTGTGAACAGAAAATACACTTGGATGGTTTGTTAGCAAGCACAAAAGCAAGGTCTGGGGACTCACCAGAAGCATGAGGTTAAGGCTGTAGATAGACACATGTTTGGTGAAGGATCACATTTCCACATGGTCGAAAAGTGAGAGGAGAAGAAGAAGAGGAGGAGGAGATTGGATTTACACCCCACCCTTCACTGCCTGAAGGCGTCTCAGAGCGGCTTACAATCTCCTTTCCCTTCCCCTCCCCACAACAGACACCCTGTGAGGTAGGTGGGGCTAAAACAGTTCTTTGAGAACTGATCATATGAGAACATCTTTGAAAGAACTTGTGACTGACTCAAGGTCACTCCAGCAGCTGCACGTGGAGAAGTGGGGAATCAAACCTGGTTCTCCCAGATTAGAGTCTGCGCTCCTGACCACTACACCAAACTGGCAGAGAAGGGGCACAATCTTCTCTCTTCTGTCAT